AGCCCTCTGGGGTATCGGCTACTCCTCCCAGTTTTGTGTCATCAGCAAACTTGCTAAGGGAGCACTCTGTGCCTTCATCCAGGTCATTGATGAATAAATTGAGCAGGACTGGGCCAAGGACTGACCCCTGGGGGACCCCACTAGCCACAGGCCTCCAACTAGACTCTGCACCGCTGATCACCACCCTCTGAGCTCTGCTGTCCAGCCAGTTCCAAATCCACCTCACTGTCCACTCATCTATCCCACACTGCCGGAGCTTGCCCAGGAAAATGGGCAGATGTTAGTTAGATGTTGGCTAGACCCAAAATACTTCAGATCAACACCAAATGAAGTGCTTTCCTCCTTCAGCTATTGACAGGACATGCTATTGGGGTACATCTATAGCAACTTAACATGTCATGAACACATCTTTGCATGTTATGAAGAATCAACACAGCAATCGACAATTTCTATTTTAGTTACAGATGAAATGGTACAAACTGCATTGGCAATTTGCAACTCAAAATATAATTAAAAATTAGTGTCAGGTCCCGCCATCAGCCCAAGATGGGACAAGACATTCAGGGTAAAAGTAAGCACGTGTCTTACCTATAGTGTTTTTCTTATACTGAGGCAGCTTCACTACTGTTAGCTACACTTAAGGGAACAGGTAGTACCAGTTTGACGCACACATACTATAACTTTTAAGCCCAAAAAGCATAAAAAAACCCAAAAAACTAAGTTGTGCAGCGCAAGAAAAAGACAAAAGCAGTGGCTAGCCACCAAGGAGAGCGCGTTGTGACATTGGCTGTTAGCAGTGTCACATACAAGCAGTCCTCATCTACCAGAACATCTTGCACATCCCAGTCTGGTAGCAGCAATTTCTGTGCGAATGTAAAAATTGTCCTTTCTCAAGCCAAGAAAGGAAACAAAATAGCAAACCAAAAGCCTTCACACGAAGTGGTATCCACAGCACCTTCCTCCCTCACCCTCCTGAGGGCGTCACCGCTGCCGGTCCCTGTGCGACCCCCACGCTCCGAGCAGGCAGCCGTACCTGTACATGAACGGGGCGACCGTGGCCGTGTTGGGGTGGCTGTACTGCTGCTGGGGATGAGGTAGCTGAACACTCACAGTGTTGCTGCCCGTCGTCTGCGTGGCGGTGCCGTTGACAGCGTGGCTGCTGCTGCTGCTGTGGAGCCCTCCTTTTCCCTCGGAAGAGGCCAGGCTCGAGGAGGAACTGGAGTTCCTGCTGTCCAGCTGGGTCTTCTGATGAGGGAGGCCTGAGCCAGGTTTCGCACTGCGGCTCCTCTCACTTTCCTTTGCAGACACTGGGGCACTTGAGGATTTCCCTGTGGTGTTTTTCATTCCTGGTTTTGGTATTCCACTATGTGAAGGGGCAGAGGCCTCCTTCTTGGCACTATTCAGCTTTCCTCCTTTAGGGATAAAGCTTGCAATCTTTGAGGACTTTTTTGGCATCTCTGTTGTTGCTAGTGCTGTCTGTTCTTCTTTCGGCTCCTCTTTGATGTCCAGCTTTTCAGTGATGGATGTTCTTTTTGCAGTATCTTTACTTTTTTCCTTTTCTTTCTCTTTCTGCTTCTCTTTATCCTTCTCGTTACCCTTTGGAGAACTTTTCTTATTAGTCAGTGCCCGACTAAAAGTTCTTTGTGCAATTCCCTTGAGTGCAATTTTGGGACTGCTGGACATTGGTCCTGGGTTGTTCACATTCTGGGTTGGGGCATCAATTTCTTCACTTTCCTCGAAGCTCGGGAGCACCTCGAGCTTTTCACAGCCGTTCTCCTGAGACCCTGGGCACTCGAGCGCTGTCCCTCCTGCTTTGGAGCCTCCTTTGCTATTGAAGAGTTTTAATTTTTCCAGCATGGATTTTTGGCCGTTGGGAGCCGTTTTGACCATTTCCAAAGATGGCTTCGGAGGCTCTGACCCCGGCTGCTTTACAGATAACATGGAAGACGTAGCTGTGTGCTTAGCACTAAGGGATTTGCTGCGCCAGGGTTTGATAGCAGAGCTGGGCTGAGGGATGGCTGAGGAGTTGGTGCAACCAAGAGCACTGCTGCAGCTTTGGACTGAGGAGCAGACATTTTCATTCATTCCTGCGGGCTGGGGGGCTGCACCGTCTGCAGAGTCTGAAAAAATAAATTACAAAATAGTGCAGTACCGGGGATTAAAATCAGTCTGAGATTTCCTCCTATAATGAAAGATCAGGATCTTCACACTAAGAACTTCATAAAAAGACACACGTATCACTACTTTAAACATCGGTATTACTTAAACAAAATAAAGCCAGTTATTTTTCTCCTACTCAGCAAAACAAACAGCTACAAGCTCCGGCTATGTAACTTCCATTTACTTACTTGCTGTTTCAAAAAAAGAAGAAAAAGAATCTTTCTCCAATTCAAACCAAAAATACATTTTGCCATTTCATGTTTCATTTCATTTCATTCATTTTTTCCTCTTATTAATCCAGTTACACTGTTTCATCAGCAAAAACTCGATACTATTTTCTAAGGCTTCCCTCTGCTTTGGCAAAATTTCTGCTTCCGAGTCCAATTCTTAGAAAAACCTCAAACGTATGAAAATGCAGCACCGAGGAAGAAAAATAAAACTGAAGTTATTCTACGGAGGGTGGGGGAAGACGTTCAGCCCTTCATACGCACAGAGATAGAAGCAAAATCCACACACAAATCTAAAACCAACTGTTCCCCTATGCACTGAACCTAAATGATAGATTATCACATAACTTAATCCATCTGTAAGAGAAACTAGTGGCAGTCAGGGCAAGCCCTGCCCCTCGGGGAACGCAAAACCGTCGCCTGTTTTGTTCTCTGAACGTTATTTGCTCTTCCCAAGAAATTAGTTCAGATACTAAAGAGCTTGAAAAAAAAAAAAAAAAATCGCACTCACCTCCCGGCGGCCACTTCTGCTCTGAAGTTTCTCTCGGCAAAGTTTCCTTTCTGGAGACGCTGCCCTCTCAATTATCACAGATACGTTTGCTGTTAAACTGCTCATGTTTCCAATTAACTCGTGTCATCCACGCCTGCCCAGCAGCCTGCTGGGGATTAACGGCTCTTACCTATATTTCCCTGCCCTCCAGCAATAAAGTAAACAGTGTATAAAGCTGCTTTGCTTTTTTTCCCCTAATTTAAAAATCAACGGCAGTTGAGCGAGTGCATTTTGGGCAGCACGAGCAGCCCTGCGGGTTCAGCTCTATAAATCACGGACCGCTGCAGCCGCGCAGGGGCTGTTTTGCTTCACTTTCAGCTGCTCGCTGAAGACACAGCTCTGTTAACCTCTCATCTCTGATCCAAACCAGATCAACCCAAGATTTAAAGCACATACATCTTGGTGACTTGGCAGAGAATCGGATTTCTAAGAGTATTAGAGATTCTTTAATAACAAACTCGGTCGTTTTACATGGTTATGTACTAAGTAGGATAGCAGGCATTAATGCCACTTTCAAAAAATATTACTGAGGTTGGAAGATTTCCAGGCCTCTGTTATTAACCAGTAACTATACTGGCCCGTCTTGCTAGCCCTATTCCTCCGGAAAACCATCCCCGTGCAGATGGAGGGAAGCAATTGTCGGTTTGCGAGCATGTACAGGAGTTGTCCTCCTATATTAGTGCTAGTCTGCCACCTTCCAGGGCATCACGACTCCTGTTTTACTCTAGCACAGAAGGAAAAGCCAAGTTACCCCAATTCCCTAACAGTAACGCCGCCCTGTCCTCCAGCTGCTCTGCCCCAGCCCACTAAGCTTAGGCAGATGCATTGAGGAGGACTGAGGTGGTGGAGGAGTTGCAGAAGGTTAAAAGCATTTTAGAAGCTGTTGAGACCGCCTCTCCCTCTGCTTTCTCCTGCACACTTCTTAGAGTGCACTGATTCTCTCGTCATTATTTTTTTCCTCCAGAAGTTCTCCCACCTGCAACATTGCCCTGTTGTCCTTCTGTACACTCCAGACAAGTTAAGCCTTTGCCTCATGCTGCATTCAATAGTAGACACCTAGCAAGGTAATGAAGGCTTCATGAAACTCCTAAGGGTATGTAACTTGTAATTAATTTGTTTGGCCTCACTTGAAAAACAACATAAAATTGCCCACTCGCAGGTCTAGATCCTTCCAGAGAAATGAAAAAGTCACAGTCCAAATGTGTTCTGGTCTTACAGTGATAAACACATCTCGACGCAAAGCGTATCCGTGCCCATAAATCGACAGAGCTGTCTGTGATTTGCACACGTTCACGGGATGAGTGAACTCGGGTCTACGGACGAAATGTAACATATTATCACATGCCAGCTTTATATTAAACACATTAATCACGACACATTGATCACACCACCACAAGGAGTAAGGGGAAAACGGACTGACCAATGAAAGGGACAGTATCAGCTGGAAATTCCCTGGTAAGGATGAGCCGTTTGACGAGACAGGTGGTGCAACACGCGCATCACCCGCCTATAGCGCAAACCCAGGTGAGGGTGAAGCCACCTCCCGCCCTAGTCTGAGGCGAACAGAAACACCATGCGAGTTGTACTTGTGCAAAGAAAGCCCTTCTGCACACAGGAGATCAGATTTTTTTAAAAAATGGTGTTCCCCAACCTCTCACACACCAGTGGTGTAGGGCGAGGATAAGGCAATTGCACGCAGCGAGTTACTCCTGATTTACACACTTTGGGGAAATGAGAATAAGGGCCACAATATCATGACTGTAACAAACAGGAAAAAAAAAGAGCATATGAGGGCATTAATGTGATTTTTAGTGTTTGCATGCAACACTTTCCAGAAATTATCTTGAAAAAGGTTTTATTCTACAATTCTGGTATCAAGGAAAAACATTTAGAAACTCTCAAATATATCTCAAGCAGATATATTTGTATATATATACTTCAGAAAAAGAAAAAAGATATCTGCTTACACAAATACAGTGGATTTTGATTTATGTTAAGGTCAAATGCAGAGAAATTGAAAATTGAAAGTCCTTGAGTCTTTGGGGGGGAGGGGAAGGTTGACAGTAGAACTCATGAAAACTGGCTTCAACTCCAGAAATCTTCACTATTTTACAATTCTCCATCGCTGTCTCACAAACGAGCCTGCTGGCTCTCCGGCTCCCGAGACCAACGTGCACAAAAGGGGGCTCTGCTGCCAGAAAGCACATTCAGACGCTGGGTTTCCTAAGGAAGCACTAACACCCATACGCGTGCAACACATCAGCATGCAGGGGAGGAAGCCGTATTCAGCAGAGCATAGGCCCTCCTTTCACTGAAAGGAGGGCAGGTTTCATGCATTCTATTAATACACTTATTATTTCCCATGTGTTCTTTGTGAGGGAGATACTTTCTTTCTTCAGCAACCTGCATTAACTAAAACGGACCATAAAAGAAATGTTTTCAAACCCAAGCTGCAGTCTACAAGGAATAATGATTCTCTTTCCTCTTTTCAAAGTCAAATGTTGGCCTGGAATCCATTTTGTTCCTAGTGTTCCCATTACAAAGATGTTGGTGGTCTAGTCCCAATGCCAATACGCACTGTAGCATGGGTAAATCTGATTTCAGCTGCTCCTGTAAAGCCTTAACTGCATCTGCAAACCTAGCCATTTGTCACGAAAAAAAAGAGTCTAAAAGCTTATGATTTACATCTTCCACTGAAGTCTTTGAGCCCTTACATTATAGGACAGTCTGGAGAAAATATATGCAATTTCCCATCATTTGTCAAGTTAAGTTTAAGCAAGTGTGCTCTGATTTGCTATAAATGAAGACTTTCAAAAACAATCCTTATAAGCATGAAAGGCAGCATGAAGACAAAGGATGTTTTCACAGTCACTTCTCCTTAGAAAGGTCAAGAACTTAACAGCATTTTTATTTGTTTCACAACGAATGAGCTGTCATTTTTTATTTCACAGCTATGGGAAAAATAAAAAGTTCTCATGAAAAGATACGTGTTTAGTCCAGCCCACAGATTAGATAACTCTAATTTAAAAGCAAATCCACCATCAAATTCTAATTTAGGAAGTAAAAGCAGATCTGCTCTATGACCTGATAGCGCCAGAACTGTAGAAACCACTGTGCCAGCTACAACATTTCCTATGTTGACACTAACTGGCGAGTCTTGACCCTTCCCATCCACCCACTAGAGGACTCTCCCTCAAAATACTATGAATAAGCAGTCTTACAAAGAAAAGCTTTTTAGCTGAGCTGTATCCTCGTCACTGGTGATTTATCATCCTTAGTAACCCCCTGAAGTATGGAAACGTCTGTATTTCTGCCAGGAGCTTACTAAAAAGGAGGGAAAAAAAAAAAAAAAAAGCACACGGAATTTTTCCATAATCAAAAGCAAGAGCAGGGTTCGGCATTCCGAGCAAGAACCAGGGCACGCAGTCAGTCCTTGATGGAAGGCACCAAAACCTTGGTGATCCACAGGAGCTTCTATTTCAGTTGTAATGCTGCTGACTTCAGAGAGCCATAGGTGTGCTGAACGCACTGCCTGCCTTTACTGCCTCAGGGGCACGGAAGAGGCTCGGGCTTCTCTGACAAGCTGGCTGAACCCTTGGAGCTTTTTTTTTTTTTTTTTTTTTTTTTTAAACTCTAGGCCAAGACAAAAAGCAATAAAAACATTTTCAGTAAAACAGTGTTCACCAGATAGGGAAATTCTGTGTCATCCAAAACGGGATAGGAAACATTTTGCTTTGCTGGTGACAAAAACTTCACCAAGTTTAGTGGAACTGATTTCTCCAACTTCTTCTATCCCACCAGCTTTGCCTCTAGAGGCAATTCACTTTATTTTAAAACGGGACAAAATCCACCCTTAGGCTTGAAGCACTAAGTGTTAGCTCGTGTTATGGAGATTGAAGAGGTAAAGATGGAAGGAAGTTTTTTCTGCAACTTCAGCAGCAGTTCTCTGCACTCTTCTGAAAACCACTACCAGAGTCACAGGATCATCGAATGGTTGAGGTTGGCAGGGACTTCTAGAGATCATCTAGTCCAACCCCCTGCTCCAGCAGGGACACCCAGAGCACGTGGCACAGGGTGGCATCCAGGCAGGTTTGAAGATCTCCAGAGAAGGAGCCTCCACAGCCTCTCTGGGCAGCCTGCGCCGGGGCTCTGGCATCCTCGCAGGAAAGCTGCTCTTCCTCAC